CCCCCCACATCTCCCTGCCCCCCCCCCCAGCACTCCCAGTCACCACAGCCACTGGTTTCCTTTGGGGGCAAGAATCCATCCTGGGCTCCCCCCCATGTCCGCCGGTGCCCCTCACTCCTGACCCGCAGCCCCCTGCTAGCCCAGCCCTGGGCTCCCCGTTTTGGGAAGGGCTTTGGGTGAGTCAGACTGGGGCCCCTGGAGCTCTGCGTTGGTCCGGGGCGGGGGGACGGGGGGGGCCCTGCTGGGCAGCAGCCCGTGGGGGTGGATCTGGCCGGGGAGAGGGGGGCGGTTGCTGCCGTAGCCTCAGCTCACCCCAGTCGGGAATGCTGGAAGCGGCCCAGCGCCGGCGCCCGCCCTGGCAGCCCGTGCAGTTCGGATCAGGAATTCGCGGGGGGAGGGGCTCCGGGAGCTGCTCTCAGCTGGGGTGGGGGGGGGGTAACCCCTTCAGGGATGGGTCAGGATTCGGGCGTGTTTCCACGTCTCCATCGCACCCCGATTTTTCCAGGGCCTGGCGCCTCCTGCTGTGACGCGGCTTCGCCCCCTTGGGGGGCTCGGGGTTGCTGGCTCCCGCGCGGTTTGTGAAGGGTTAATTCAGCTTCGCTAATTGGGGAAACTGAGGCACAGGGAAAGGTGAAACGGGATGGGAGCGGAGGCTACTGGTTAGAGTGAAGGGGGAGGAGGGGATGGAAACCAGGACTCCTGGGTTCTCTTTCCACCTGTGCCGTTGGCTGGCTCTGGGACCTAGGGGAAATCGCTCCCCCCCTGCCTCAGTTTCCCCGCCACCCATTTCCATAGGTGGTGTCTATCCAGGGCCATGGGCCTCTGCCACGTTCCCTGCCCTGCCTTTGGGCTCAGGGGGTCCCCCGGTGCCCGCAGCGCCAGGGACTTGCTCAATCCGGCAGCTGGTCGGATTTCCTCCCCCACCCTGCCTGTCTCGCTCCCTCCCCGCCAGGAAATCCGGCCAGGCTGACCCGAGGGGGGATGGGCTGTTTCCTTCCCTGCCTTGGGGGGGGGGAGGGGCACAGAAGTCATCTGCCCTTTAAAAGGCCCCCCCATGGCTGCTGCATCCTGGGGGAGGGGAAATCTCATGACCCCCAGTGCTGAAGGGGGGGGATCTGGGAACTGCCCTGCTGGGGATCCCCAACCTACCCCACCCCTGGCTTTGCAGCCGCTCTGTGGGGCGGGGGGGTGGGCTGAGACTCGCTGCCCCTAGGAATTCCTCATTTAACCCTTTCCCTGCTGGGGATCTTTCTTAGCCGGCACCAATGGGCATTCGCCCCAAGTTCAGAACTCTGCCCCCTATCCCCACCCCGGCTGCAGGATTCGCCTTCACTTCCCGGCCTAAATCAACGCGGCTGTTAAACAGCCCCTGCCCCACCCCAGAGGCAGCCGCAGCTCAGAGCCGGTCGAGGGATCCCTGTATAACCAGCCCCTGCCGAGGCAGCTGCAGCTCGGAGCCGGGCGAGGTTTGGGGGTGGCAGGCGCTGTGGGATACCCCGTTATGGATCCCGCTGGCCGCTCTGCCCCATGCCCACTGTAACTCTTCTCTTTGGCATCCCCCCTCCCCCCCCAGATACGGCAAAATCGTTTCCACGAAAGCTATCCTGGACAAGACGACCAACAAGTGCAAAGGTGAGGCCTGGTGCCCCACAGCGGCGCCACGGGAGGGTCCCTGGTTCCTTGGAACCCCCCTGCTGCTTTCCCCAGTAGTCTGGGCTCTGGATACATTCCAGCAAAGGGTCCCCATATACCCAGCCCCTGCGCCCACCTCAGCGCCAGGTGATGGGTCCCTGTATAACCTGCCCCTGCACCCCACCCCAGAGCCAGCCGCATCTCCATGCTGGGCGAGGGGTCCCCATATACCCAACCCCTGCGCCCCACCCCAGAGCCAGCCGCATCTCCGTGCTGGGCAAGAGGTCCCCATATACCCAACCCCTGCACCCCACCCCAGAGCCAGCTGCATCTCTGTGCCGGGCAAGGGGTCCCCGTATACCCAGCCCCTGTGCCCCACCCCAGAGCCAGCCACATCTCCGTGCTGGGCAAGGGGTCCCCGCATACCCAACCCCTGCACCCCACCCCAGAGCCAGCCGCATCTCTGTGCCGGGCAAGGGGTCCCCGCATACCCTGCCCTCACCCCAAAAGGGCCACCTCCCAGTGCCAGGTGAGGGGTTGCTGGGTGATGGGAAGCAAAAAATCCCATAAAGGGCTTTGAGACAACAAATCGCAAGATCCTAAATATCCAACACACGGGCTCTGGTTTGAGGCTGCAGGGTCCCCCCCCTCTGCCCCCCCGTCACTGTCCCTGCTTCTCTCCCAGGCTACGGCTTTGTCGATTTCGACAGCCCCACGGCGGCGCAGAAGGCCGTGACGGCGCTGAAGGCCAGTGGGGTGCAGGCCCAGATGGCGAAGGTAAGTGCCCCGGATGCCCCCTGCCCGCACGGAGATGGGCGTAGGAGGTCCCTTCCCCCGGACCCCCACCACCCTGGGGTGCCCCCCCCCCCGTGGTGCAGGTTTGTGACTCGCCCTGCAGCTGGTTGGGCGGCTTTGGGGGGGCAGCGAGCCGCCTGGAGAATCGGGGCCATGAGGTTCTCTCGGACCGGGGAGGGGGGGCGAACGGGGGCCGATCTCAGGCCAGGCCAGAGCCGTGGACGATTCTTCCTGGGCCAGACTTGGACTTTCCGTCCTGCCCCGGGACAGGGGAAAGTTCTGAAATCTGGGGGGTTGTCCCAGGACGGGGAGCCCGTCTCCCGGCTGCCCTCTGCTCCCTGGACGTCCCAGCCCTGGGCTCCCCCACAGCTCTGCCGGTGCCCCTCACTCCCGACCTGCAGCCCCCTGCTAGCCCAGCCCTGGGCTCCCCCCAGCTCTGCTGGTGCCCCTCACGGAGCCGCAGCCCCATAGGGCAGGGGAAGAGGAAGTAATTCCCCACACAGAGGCCAATTTCAGGGAAGGGGAGACCCTGGAGGCCCCTTTGGAGGGCGCTGGGCAGCCCCTCACTGCCGTGTCTCCATAGCAACAGGAGCAGGACCCCACGAACCTGTACATCTCCAACCTGCCGCTCAGTGTGGACGAGCAGGAGCTGGAGGGGATGCTGAAACCCTTCGGACAGGTGATCTCCACCCGCGTCCTGCGCGACCCCAACGGCACCAGCCGCGGCGTCGGCTTCGCCAGGTCAGAGCCCCCCGCCCGGGCACCCCTGGGGGGAGGTGTTGGGGGGGGGCGGGTCATTGGCATGGGAGGAGACGGGGGTCGTTGGCACTGGGGGACGTTGGCGCTGGGGGTTCTCGGCATGGGGATGTTGAAGGGGGAGGGGGTTGTTGGCACTGGGGGTTGTCGGCATGGGGATGTTGGCACGGGAGGGGGTCGTTGGCGCTGGGGGACGTTGGTGTTGGGGGTTCTCGGCATGGGGATGTTGGAGGGGGAGGGGGTCGTTGGCGCTGGGGGGCGGTGGCGGTGGGGGGTCT